AGAAGAGCAGGAAGCAAAGAAAAGAGATAAAAAAGCGAGGAAGAGAGGGGAGAAGGAAGCAAAGGAGAAGGAAGCGAAGCAGAAGGAAGCAAAGGAGCTTAAGGAAGCAAAGGCGAAGGAAGAGGCACAGGAGAAGGACCAGAAAGAAAAGAGGGCCACGAAGAACGATAAGGACGATACTGAGGAGGCTTCAAGCAAAAGCAAGAAACAGAAGAAGGAGGATGGTGATGACCAGGAGCGAGACAGCTCAGCTTTCAGGACCCCCCTCGCCGCGCAGGCTGGTGAGTCCTTCGCCCACCCTGTCCATCGCCAACGTCTCAGCTTGGAGGGAAGAGGCAGCGCAGAGAGGCATCACTCTTGAACAACACATGGAGGAAGTATCGCAGCAAGCGATTGATGCAATGGTGAGCGAAAAAATGGGGCAACTTGTCGCCGCCCAAAAAGTCAAGGAGAATAGTAGTGATGATGAAGAGGGGGATGAAGAGAAGGGTGGGAATGGGCATGCAGTTGTTCCACACTGCCCATGTTCCGAGCCTGATGATGAGAGCTCGGATGACTCAGAAGACTCTCCACAAATCTCTGAGGATTCAGATGGTAAGGAATCCAGCGAGGAGGAAAACGAAGATGAAGGAGAAGGAAGCGACAGCGATGACATGGATCTGGGTGAGCTGTTTGGATCCGAAGATGAAGAGGAAGGTGATGAAGAGGAAGAGAGTGAGAACGAACCAATGGTACCAGCGCCAAGAAAAAGCGCTTTGAGGAATGGGAAAAAGAAAGAAGAAGGACAAGAGGAAGAAGCAAAGAAGAAGATAGAGGCTGCAGTGGCGAAGCAGCAGGTTGTCCCAGCTCCAGCGAAAAGCGCTGCACCTACGCCCAACAGCAACTCGCATGCCATTCGAACACCTTAAGTTTTGAAGGGAGGTGTGGGAGTTGTAAATCACCCTGTTTTTTTTATATCCCTCCAAATTGCCATAGGTGGTTTGGGCAAACCTTAGGCGTCACCAACAAGAGTGAGTGGGAGAAGTTCAGTCGACAATGCTTAGATCACAAGCAGTTCCCTGTCAGCCTGGCATCCCACTACTTGAAAGACAAAGGTGATTTGTTCCGCGCGAAAAAGGACGGGAGCCAGTATCTTGCCTTGTTCAACAACCTGTTTGGGTTGCCCCGTACTGGCCCTTTTATCACCCTCTTTACACCCTTTTCTAAAGGATGTCTTCCCGCTCTACTTTCTTTGCGAAAACCAAGCCCTGACCAGGGTGGAAGTCGAATTCCAGCGACGAGCAGAATGAAGAAGACCAGTCGGAGTCAGCGGGAAGGAATGAAGGCTCGCGACATCAAAAAGAAGTACCCCGCCGCTAAGGCCGATGCGCTGATCCAAAAGCTCCACAAAAGCGGCGTGTTCTACTACGACCCTGACTTCCCAAACGATGACGAGGAGCGGGCTCCAGTCCAAAGGTTTCATGTTTCCCAAATGTGTTTTGGAAAAACGAATCGTTCACCAGAAAAATCTACCCCACCCTGAAGGAGATCTTCTATTACGTGGGGAGTGGGCACAAGCTCAGGGATGAGGTCATCACGGCTGAGCCGTCACAATCCGGGATGCCAACAACAAGGAGTTGGCTGAGGCAATGACCGTCGAGGGTGGTCCTCTCCAAGCAAGTGCTCTGCCTGCAGCCCCAGCCGCGACGGCTGAAGGCGGCAAGAACTTGCAGGAGGCTGTGTACAAGTCTGCAGTCAAACCCACCACCAAGAAGCCTAAGAAGGACACTACAGCCACAGAACCAGCTGAACCGAAGACTTTGGACGAGTAGGGATCTTAGTTGATGTCTTCATCGAAACTGTTGTCTCAATGTTCTTAGTTGATTAGATGAAAGCATCTAGTTGTCTCCAAACCCACCCAGAGTAAATCGAGCTCCAATCCCATCCAGGCCCATCTCACTTTGTCTACCTTCTGGCCTCTCTGAGGCGGGCCAGCGAGAAGATGGAGGAATGCCTCAAGAAAGGGGCTGATGGAAGGAAGTTCGGTGTTTCGCTGGAGAGCCTTGAGTACTCTGGGGACCTCGCTTCCAAAATGCTGGAGTTCAGCAAGAAGATGGAAACTGTTTACAAGAAACTCCAAGAGCTTCGTTCGTCAGGTTCAACCGATGAAGCCCAATATGAGAAGATGTTCAGCATCATTGATTCCAAGTTGGAGTGGTTCACCAAAGCTGAGGCTCTACATGTCCAAACCACCCAGGTGTTCAAGAACATGTCCCCTCTAACAGTTATATAGTTTGGGGAGTTGAGTCCAATTAAAACGTCTCTTGTCAACACCCATTCGAGGCTGCCGCAAGGGCTTGCAGAATGGACTCCAACCAAGCCAAAAAGAAAGAGTAAGAAGAAAGGTGGTGAAGAGCCGCCCCTTGAGAGTGGAGATGCGGCCTGATCTTTACATGAGCCATGTGCGTTGCAACCAGTATGAAATAGTATGAAAAAAGCAAGGGTCCCTAGAGGTTAAAGGCATGCATCAGAACTTTTCGCTGTTCACATGAACGTCCAGTTCTAGTGTTTATATCTCCTCTTACTTTTGCACCGGCTCACCTTTTGAAAGCTGCGACATTGGCAGCGTTAGTTCACCGCCCTGGGAGCCAATGCAGTCTGCATACACATATCGATAGACTGCAGTTGCAGGGTTGTGCGGTTGGAAGCGTCGCCACACTGTCCCAAAGAAAAATGAGGGCGCTAGCTGTTCTGCAGTCCCAGTACTCCAAGCTGTGATAAAGTATTCCCATGTATTTCCCCTGCACGCAGGTGCCGCTCTTCAGAATACTTCAGTGGCTGCAAGGCGGCTACTTTACTTTTCTTCACCTGTGAGTTTGAAGACTTTTTGCAAGTGAGGCGGTTACCTTATGAATCACTCCCTCTTAGCCACACAGGAGAAATGTACCTTCGCTCCTCAGCTAGTTGGGGTTGCTCTGTTTTGCCTGCAGTTTGCAGTTACATGGCCCTGGTGGTTTGTTGCAAAGGTATGATTGGGTGTGGGCGCGCCAATGTGGCGCAAATAGCTGACTTGGCCAGAGCCAACGTCGCTGATTCTGTTCCTTCAAAGGCTTTGGAAGCGTTTGCTTCCTTGGGTGCAGGGGGGCAAATTTCCAGGTAACCAGGAAAGAGACTTGCACCGTTGGGTCAACAAGCTGTATGGTGTGTCGCTGTCGCCATACTGTGTAGAAACAGAGCTGAACGAACCATGGATTGAATTCATCATTTTTGGTGGAGCGTGTTTCTTGCTTTGATGTTGAGGTATGGAAATTTGTTTGGTGTGTGTGTCTAGGATTTTCTGCTATCGTTTAAATAGAATCTCTTTGAGCTAAGGTAAGGGGCAAACGCGACACAGAGCTAGTGAAGGTGCCAATACTACTTCCTCGTGAAATTGTTCACGAACTAGCCAAAGCTGGCCAAGTCCAGGCCTTTTGCAATTCTCTACTGTGCATATAAACATGTTTCACTTTCTCAATCAAACCAGAACACACTTCCTTTTCGCTTTTTCAGTTTGCGCGCTCCATGACGGGCTACAGATCTGGCGCTGCCATTGCTGAGTTCTGGGCCCATTGCGAAGCCCTCGAAGCGTGGAAGGACCACCCGTGCCTGACAAACTCGGGCATTCCAAGAGACCGTCTGCGGCGCTAGATTTGGACAAGTTTTGGTTTGGTATAGATTCGAAATGGTGAAGGAGGATAGTATAAACTTTGAACTCATGCCGCGTGCCAACTTAGGATTGTTGCCGTCACTCGGCGCCGAGTTCTACAACAAGACAGAGTTTGTTGTCTGGTCTGTAGGATCAGCTTTGTCTGAGGGACATGTTTGGGACATCAAGTTTCCAATAGCATGCGCGCCACATGAAGCTATGGTGGACCCCAATGTGAACGACTCAGAATTTTAGAAATCAAATCATTGATAAACTTTCATTCAACTCTGTGAGTCTGCCCTCAAGGATTGAACAAACCTCCTTCTTCGCTTGTGCCGCGCAAGGTGAAGAATGCTGTGAACCAGCTCATTGCCCAAGTGGTTGGGTGGTCACTTCGCCAGGCGGCGAGGGGTGAGGCGCCCGCTACTGGTTGTTTTGGGGAAACGCTTGAAGGAGATCGCGCCAAAATGGCTGGGTCTGAGCTAGCGCTGGGGTGGAGAGCATGTTACTTTGGATCAAAGTACGATGCCAAGGCAAGAAAGGAGATCAACCAATTTCCTCGGTCGTATTTGCACAGTCTGATTTGTGAAACCTGTTTAGCCCAAAAGAAGCACAAGAATTGGATTCCAGAGCTCACCTACAAAAACTTCTATGCTTCTGCTGGTCATCGGCTGACGAAAATCAGTCTTAGTCTCAGTTGACCTCAAATCTCGTTCCCACTTGTTTGTCCTCTGCCTTCTTGAACCCAACCGGCCTTCGCGGCTCATCAGAGGTCCTGAGTGCATGGGCGTGCGTCGAGGGTTGGACACTCGAGAGTTGCTTCCGGGATCCGATGCGCGCATTGTTCCTGGGAACCGTTCGAGATTTGTATGCGTCGGCATTGGCTTTCTGGTGGAGAAGTAATTTCTTGGGCGGCGATGAGACCATGTCTGAAAAACTACGCAGTGTTTCAGACCGCCTGAGACGAGAAAGCCATCAGGCCAAGTAGTTTGGCAGCCTACCATTCGTGTCAGTTTTCCTACTGTTTATCAACTTTTGTTTTGGACTCAAAACCATTCTGGTGCTCTTGGCCTGGGGTATGCTCAGGATTAGGTTACACTTCAAGAGCTTCACTCCACCGAACACAAACATGGAGAAGACCAATGAGTACCCAGAGATGGGTAGTGTGTTCAAGGCATCGTTCTTGAAGGCTGCCCTGTGGTTCTTCACAAAGGTTGCCATTGAACTGTCTGGAAAGTGGCCTAAGGAAACTAGGATTGCACATGGCCTTTGAAGGTTGTCACTCCTGGGTTTCCCTGCTTCCTATGTTTTTTGTGTTCAATAGTCAGGACAAGATCCTGAAATTGATTGCGGTC